ATCACCTCAAGGGGAGAAGAAGTGAAGTGGGTTAGTATTTTAGACCAAGACTGTAGCTTAAAGTCACTGTCCACACTTCAGGGCAGGGCTAAGTACTGACAGCTGCTATCAAAAGTACTGTAATTGAGCCAGTCTCAGTGCTTTTTGGATCATTGGTTCAGTATTGACTGGAGGAATACCTACTATTATTCCCCTTTCAAGGATGGAGCAGAAGCTCCTTACACTGTGCCAGGTCAACTGTTCCTTACCTTTTCCCACCTGTTTGGGAAGCTTCCTTACATGCATGGACACAATTTAATTTATAGTTCATGGTACAGTAAAGGAAGGCCGGGGAGTGGGGATCTGACCCCCCACTGAGAAGATGACAAAGGAGAGTTAAGGAATGTGCCATGAAGGGCATGTAAATGTTTCATCTTGTGTAGAATTTGAATGTGCTTTAATATTCACACAGATAAAGGCTGCTTCAAAATCCTAGGGGACCCTTTACTGATCCCTCCCACATTTCAAAGGGGCTCATCCGCGTTTTGTGCTGTTTGCTATTTGGGTATCTATGTAACCCTCTATTTTTCTGTGAAAACAACATTTCCTCCCTTCCCCAGTTGGCCCTTTGCAAACCTGCAAACACAGATTCTCTATTCTCAGCCCCATCTCATGTCCCCAGTGGGTCAGAAGCCTACAGAGCCCATTAATCCTCTCCAAGAACTTCAAAGGCTGGTACAGGAAAGCTGGTGCAGGTGTCAAAGCCTCTGTAACACCTGGATATGGCTCCATCTGTATACAGTGTATAGAAGGCAGCCATCAGAGCACTAGTTAGGAAGCTGTGCTCTACCTGCAGTGATCTGTGCAGTTGGTCTTCAGAGGAGAGAGCCTAAAGTCTGACCAGCGAATGATCAGCTAATGTATTTACTATCCCAGTCCTATGCCTAGGAGATGCCCGTACATGCCGCTGCAGCCCATAGCAGGTCTCCTGTGATAAATCCCTGGGCTGGGGGACAGGGAGTAGGAGAACCTAATTTTCAACTGATGTAAACTGACCAATATCACTAAGTTCAGTAGAGTTAGGCAAACTTACAACTGTAGAGGAGATGGTCTTGATTCTCTAGTTCTGTGTGTGGTTCCTGTGCTCAGGCATTACTATATCAGACTGTAGCAGGGAGCCTATGGCTTCTGTTACTTTGAGGGGGAAAACAGCAGTAAACAGTGCTCAGGCAGCCTAATAAAGGTGACCTACAAGGGAATAAGCAATCAGACTGCCTACTGCTGCACTACGCGCACAGAAATAGTATGATAGGACAGTTTACTGAAGCAATAGAGCCACTGCAATTAGGGTGGCCACTGACACATCCCTAGAATATAGGACAGCCCCTTGGTGAGGGGCGCCTCCCCCCACCCCAGCCAATCAGCAGTGAGGAGTGGGTCCGCCTCCTCCTTGGCCAATCAGCATCACGGGGTGGGGCCACCACCTCCACCCCTCCCTCCTTGGCAGGCTGGCTCAGGACCCCTCTCATAGTGGCTGTGCACCACCCTACCTCTAGGTACAGCCAATAGAATCATAAGGACAAATGACTGACATGTTTTTCCACCAATAAACTGAAAAACAGGACTCTGCTATCATTCCTCATTCAGAAACAGACAGGGGACAAAGGGCTTGAAAACAGGCACTAACCGGACGAGAGAGCCCAGACCCCTAGCAAGGTGGGGACAAGGGCCAGAGAGCCCAGTATTGCTTTAGAGGGGATAGAGACCCCAGAGTCCAAGGCAGGGCCAAAACCTGCCTGGGGTTTATAGCTCAGGAAGGGCAGAGATGCCTGTGAGAGGAGAAGAAAGGGTCAGGGACTCATAGCCCATGAGGTGCAAATTCTGGGGCCAGGGACCCAGAGCGAGAGACAAGGGGCAGAGACCCCAAGAGCCTAGATTGGCAGGGCGGGGCCCCAGGATCCTGGCCTGGCATGATGGGCCTAGGCAGCAAGGAGTGGAGGCCGGGAAGGCTGTGGCCCTGACAAGTGTGTGAAGGCCTGGAGTGACCAGACATTAGCTTGAGGGCAATATGCCCCCCTCAGTAACACCTGTGAGGCATGGGTATGGGCATGATTGTAGGGAAGATTTGGAGGCCTTGACTTGCCCATAAGGCATCAGATGTCCTGGGGGCATGTACATGCCAGGAGGGCCTACCTAGCGCGAAGGCTAGTTATGGATCAGGACAGTCTGGGAGCAATCCACTGACAGAAGGACCTGGGGCAGCTTCCCTGTCCAAAGATAACAAAGAACATCAAGGCATGGCAGGAGGGTAAAAAACAGGGATAACCTAGAGCCAGAGTGCAGCGGAAGCCAAGTCACCACCAGGGGCATAATGGCTGTCTCTGGGGCACCAGTCCTGTTACACTGACTTAATGGTGCAGTTAATCCAGTAACCTGTTACTGAGGGTATCTGTAATACACGTTTCAGAAAAGGATACAAAGCTTATATACTGGACAACTGTGTGATAACCTCTCCCTGGGAAAGAGATCTCCCTGCCCTTGCTCAATGAGCACATGGTTTATGCCCTGAAGCAGGAGAATTTACAACTCTTTCTCTGCAGCTTCCTCAAGGAACAAGATTCATCTTCAGTAAGAGTGGCAGATTCTTAAAAAATCAGATATTTCAAACATTTGGGTCATTTGAGTCTAACAGTTTGAAAGCCAGATCCAAAGCCCACTGAAGCCACTGGAAAGATTACTACAGACTTCAGTGAGATCACGATTAGGACTATACTTCGGGCAAATTTTGCCTTAGGCTTTTCATTACTAGATGTTTTTTTCTTTTAAACAAGCAACACTTTGAAATGAGTGTAGATACTTTAAGAACCTGACAGCATTCTGCAGATTTCTGGAAAACTCTAGTCACTTTGCGAAAATCAATTGCTACACAAATTCTATCTGTATTAGGGCATCTTCCCTGATTTTGAGGTGCATTTTTATTACTTAGAATAACACATTTACTTACTAAATATAAGTAAATACCTTGCTTCAATCTCATTTTCTTGCAGTATTGAACCTGTAGATCTTTGGTCATGTTGTCTCTTCAGTTGAAAGCAATATTGACAGATTCTTAAATTGGTGAAGACAGCATTGTTATAAAGCTGTAGGTCTGTTCTGCCCACAAGGGGCCTTTTTGCTATTCCTCCAGCTTTCTTAAGAAAGGATTCTGATCCTGGTGAAAAAAGGAGAAATAGATTTCATCTTAAATAAGGAAAGAAAATGTTACAAAGCTCCTGTTCAAACAGCAGACTCAGTGTCAAAACACTGAGACCAAAGTAAAGCTGGTGTTACTCTAGAATTGAACTGGTGTCACTGAGATCAGAAAATGACTCCATATGGATGTTTAAAGTTTATAATTTTCTATTAAATTCTATTGGGGTTTTGGAGTATAGGAGTCTAGTGGTTAAATTCCTAGTAACTCTGCAGGGTTTTACCAGTAAGGATTTATATGCAAAATACTGTTTCTTTTCCATGTTTCACCACTTATGGCCCAAACCACAGTAGAACTGGTACAACCATGTTACAAAGTCCAGGATATGTTATGGGGATTCTGCACCCCATATGTATCACATGCAGGGCTCCATATGGGCTGTCTTCACAGGTCAGCAGAGTAGTCAGTATGCAGTTAGCCAGAGTGGCAGCCCATGCAGCCAAACAGGGCCAACAGGTGTGCGTAATGGACATGCCCTTCAGGGTAACAGACAATCCAAAAGTACCTTGTGATCCTGGTTTTGGTACAGCACCCTGGAGAGCAGCTGAATGCCCGTGTTATATCCAGGAAATGGGTAACAGCCTTGCAGATCTGGAGGCCAGTGTCTGTCAGCACCTTCTGCGGAAGACAAGCATGTTTATCATTAAATTGGACTCTCTGATGACAGGAATGAGAAGAGCATACAGAGCGCTGTTTGTGTTTGTGACAATAAGCTAATAAGCACTAGTGCAGAAGAACATTATTTTCACTTGGTTAAATCCCTTCCTTTGAAAGTATTCAAATTAATAAACTTTGTGTCAAGTCTTGCAACCCCTTACTCTAGTAGGCAATCCTTACACATGTGTGTAGCTCCATGAATAGTTAACAGGATCACTAGTCTTAGAAAAGCATGAAAAAGTTAGCCTGTTATTTGTAGCTTAATGCACACCAGCTACATATTTTAGAAGGATGAGGAGAACCTTAGAAAAATCATGTTTTTATTAGAGTTATTTTTATTAATTTTTGTCTGACTTGATTATAAAAAGAGTCAGGTTCTATTAGTGGGGCTTTAACTTAATTTTTTTCTGAGATCCTATCATTTAAATTATTGCACTTTAATGATAATACAATCCAATTTTAGCTTTCTACATCTGTGGCTCTCTTACATTTTGACCGGTACTGCAAGAGAGTTTATTTTTAAATAGCAAATTCTTTAGAGAAACTATTGATTACTGCTAGTTATATTATAGTTTAGCACATAACAGCAAGGCAACTGCACAAGTATCGCACATATTCTTTTGTATTATTTAGGAAAGGCTGCTCTAAGAAGGTATGGAAATAAAACTTAAATATTTTTAGCCAATAAATATAAAAGACAGATCATCATTTGGTGTAAGCATATGTTCCTTTTGTCACTGTTTTGTTTCCACAGCTGGGTAAATGCCTTATCCCTTTGCCTTTGTTCTGGCTCTTGATTAATTAAAGCACACAAGCTTCTTATTTTAAGCAGAAAAATATTCTAATTTTGTCTGTGCTGTGCATTGCAAAAGACTCACTATAATCTCCTTAAGGAATGAAAAAGTAGTAACCTCTGGAGTCTAGGGCTAATTCAAGGAGGTTGGCAAACAACTGTCAGAGTTTTAAACTGCATTCAAAACTCAGATCTCTGACATCAGTGAAAAAAAATCAACACATCACCTAAATTACCTCAGAGCTATTTGCATAATGGGTCCAGAGGCGGCACAGTATAAGTAGGGAAGCACTAGCCATCCAAGGAGAACTTAGCAACAGTTCTATTGGATGCTGTGTGTGTTTGTAGTAAAAAGGGCAACTTTGAAGCTCAGATGTGCAAACAGCTTTAAAGGAGTAATCTGAGGAACCTCTTGCAGGAAGAACAACCCTAACCCAAACACAAACCAGGTAATGTATAAAAGCCTTTAAAGCTGATTACTCTTGTTTTCTTAAGAGTGTCTTGGGCAGAACAGCCCTTTTCAGTACGATGCTGTTAAAAGCCTTAAAAGGCTCCCATTCAGGGACTTTCTCAGAGGTAATGAAAAGAGGTAAGAGAGTTAACAGTTTTGTTGTCTGTTTTAATACCTTTGTAAAACTTTACAGTAGATTTTGTATTTCTTTAGCTGAGGAAGATGTATTGGGGATGCAATTTAACTATAAATGGGTGGCACACTAATACTCACAAAATTTTATATTCTAGGTAAGAGAACTCCACTAATTGGTATATAAATCATCAAAGCATGGATGTCATGATGATAGGTGTTTATCTATCTATCTATCTATCTATCTGTCTATAATGGCTGGGAGAGGGGGAGAGAAACAAATAGGCAAAGATAGATAGCTAGATAGCTATTATTTTTATGCAAGTGAGTTCTAAGAAGATCAAGGAAAGCAACAATATATATTATCACACATGCACTGACATCTATTTTAAGTGGGTCCTCAAGAGATTATTAAATGCCAATTGTCAAAATAAAGTTGGTTGTCAACTAAAAGTGGGACAAACGTTGTAAATCCTAAAGTTATTTTTAAGTGGCTCCTTGAGGAGTGAATTATCTGATGGCAGTATCCCTGGAGCAGGTGTAGGTATGTACGTAAAAAACTGAACAATGAATGAATGAATGCAGAGTTTATAAGGGAAAAGATTTTAGCTTCTGATAAAGAGATATTAAAAATTCAAAACCCAAACTTGCTGGCTTTCAGAAAGATCTGCATGTCATGGGGTTAGACATGCAAAACAGAACTGCTTGTTCTAGTAGGAAAGAGACCTAACACTTCACTCCAATTACAAATTAACTGAGAGCTGTCAGGAAAATTAAAAGGGACATTAAATCACTGCCCTGGGAGACTCCAATCTCTGCAGTCGCATGGAGTGCTTGAATGCAGTTTCACATTCTCTGGCTCTGGTCTGAGTTCCTAGGAATGCTTTAACCATTATTGTTTGTTCCATTCCCTTCCCCTGACCTTTACTTTCTCATGAAAGTTGCAGGAACATCTCTCCTGCCATGACATCAGTCCAACTGCTGCTGCTGCTTTCCTTGACTTTGTCTGGCATCTGCCTCAATTTGGGGCAGCTCACTCTGGAAGGTGGCGAGAATGGGGAAAGGAGCCACCTGGATGACATCTTGCAGAGGGCAGAAAGCATCCTCCTTAGGTCTATCCTCAAGAAAGTAGAAGAGGAGGAAGAGCTCAATAAAGGTAGATGTGCTGCTGCCGCCATTCTGCTAGTGGTCTTGGGGTGCTCCTCAGATGGAAGTCATTATTATTATTAGTTTCTGGGATGTATTTTGCTTTCCCTTGAATAACCATTATAGGGGGACAGAGTGAGCCAGGCATGATGTAGGGAGATCTCCCAGTCTGAGAACTGCTACACCAGATCTGGAGCATCCCCCAGGATGGGCTTCATAACAAGATGATTCCCTAAAATGGAATCACCTATCTAGGAAATAAATTCTGTTAGGGACAGCTCTAAGGGGAGGCATAGTGTACATCTGCCACCATTGCCCCTGTTAATGGTGTTAACATAAGGCAAAAGTAGTCTATCAGCTATTCCCTGCCTGCCTCATTGTCTGCTGCTCCTTTAAAGGAAGGGATAATGGTTTGTGACTGAGAAGGTGTGGGCTACTGTTGGCCGAGGATTCCTTTTGAGTGTTCACAGACACTTTTTTCCCAGTAGGTGCATTCATAGGCCCTGAAGGCTTGGGTAAGAAAAAACATAGTTAGCTGGGGTCCCTGCCAACAGGAGGGAAGTAGGCTCTTTTCTCACAATGAGAGAAACCCCACCCTCCTACAAACATCTCTTTAAGAGAAGAAAGCTGGGCTTCTTAGCTAGTCACATGAACTCAGGCCGTGAAAACTCTTATGCTTTCAAAAGGTCCCTCACATCCTTGCCTCTCCCTGATTTTTAGCCCTGGCACATCCTGACCATCCACTGGCAGTCAATTGTTCCCATGTACCAACATGTAGAGACACTTCTACTTATCTCCCCTACATCCTCCAGTACCTAGTTTGGCTCTATGGCTGCCTCCCTCTCCCCAGACTTCTGAGGATCATGCGCCTACAATGGCAGGCTGGGCCCCATCTTCGGAGCTTCTGCCAATTTATTTGCAAGCTGGTCCTAGTTCCATCTGGCTGAAATTCCTGTGTGCCTTAGTGTACACTCAACAACACTGTTCAATCCTATAGAGCAGGGGTCAGCAACCACTGGCACGTGTGCCGAGCATGGCACGCAAGGCCATTTTGCTTGGCACACCACTGCCAGCCCGGGCTCTAAGCAGCTGCTGCCAGCCATGGAGCCCAAGCTGCTCCCAGCAGGCGGCTGGGAGGCTGCAAGCCCTGCCGCAAGCAGACCGGGATCTGTGAGCTGGCTGTAGCCGGGAGGCTGCAAACAGCTGCTCCAGGCTCCAGTATGTCGGCACTCCAGCACCTTCCAAAGTAGACATTGTGGTTTTTTCAGCACTCTGGCCAAAAAACGTTGCCTACCCCTGCTACAGAGTCACCATGGATTTCCCCTAGTGTAACCACATGTGGAATCTGGTTCTTTGTCCCCTTCAGAACTATGACAGACACACCTCAAAGACTTTACTTCTCAGCTTCCAGAACAGTGACTATTAAGATGGTTTGTTAACACTGATCATTTCTTTGGACAGAACGAGATGCTTCTGAGCCAGATTCTCTTTCCAAACGACAGCACCCTGGGAAAAGATTCTTCAATATGCTGGAAAAGAGACAGCACCCAGGGAAAAGGGAAGATGGAGAAGAAGCCTTGTATGGTGATATCCAGAAGAGGCAACATCCAGGGAAAAGAGAGGAAGACGATGACCTTGACCGCTACATGGAGCTGCAGAAGCGACAACATCCTGGCAAAAGGTCACTGTGGGACCAGTACGTTGATGCCCCTAGCACCCAGCTGACCTACCTGAATGAATTATCCAAAAGGCAGCACCCAGGCAAGAGGTATCTGGTTTATGTCAAGCGTCAGCACCCTGGCAAGAGGGGCTGGGAGGATGAGCTGGATCTGGGGGAGCAGCACTTGGAGAAACGGCAGCACCCTGGGAAAAGATTCTCCGACTCTGAAAGCCCAGATTATGCTGCCCCCTGTGACCTCCAAGATGACTTCAACTGTAGCAAAGGCAGCTTATTGCTTGAGTTATTAGATAATGTCAATAAGGGCAGGGTGGAAGAGAAGCGGCAGCACCCGGGGAGGAGGTTTGCATGGGAAAGTGAGGCTGAGGCAGAGGAATGAGAATGGCTGAGTGTATTGTACATCATTTACATTTGATTGAGTCATCTGCCAGACCACTTAAAGTTCTCTTTCTCCTCACTCTGGCTCCCTGAAGTGCCTAATTTGAAGTGTGCGAGTGTTCCCATTGAAGGCAAGGGCATTATTCACACACTCAAAGTGAAGGGCATGCTTAACTACTAAATCAAATTGAGTCAATTTGTCAAATCCTGCCAAGTCTCAAAGGCCTTCAATTCCCACAACTGTGGAAGTTGAGGTGCTTGGTTAATCATGGGATCTGGCCCTAAAACAATGTCTTTTTGTGCGTGCACCAAGTCTATTTCCTGAGGACTACCCCCACCTTTTATAGGTTTAGGATACATGATACACAGTTTCCTCCTATGCAAGGGCAATCAGAAAATGGATGCATCAAGAATGAAAGAAAAGAGTGGCAAATGCAAGTGATTTCCAACTGAACTGTAGGAAAAGAGGGTTTTAGTTTAGAATGATGGAGTTAGTGTGTATCATCAGAACAGGTCACAGTATGTGAAGGCACTTGTTCCACTATCTCCTGGGCAGAGACAGGCATTGTCCAAATGGAACAGGAAAGATGTTTGGGCTTCACACCTTGACTTGGAACAACTGCCTCAAAGCAAACATAAGTCAGGTAGGAAACTGCAGAATGCAAATAAATAACCCATGTGTCACGTAACAACTTAAGAGTGAGGTAAGAAGAATGCTGCATAAGTACTCACAATAAGTTTTCCTAATCACTACCTTCCAGGCATTTGGCTTGAAACCTATGTCTTTCTATTAAAAGTCAATATTTAAACTGCAGCAAGTCAATACCCTTTACTCCTGTATTAGGATTTTTGTTATTTTTTTCTTCAATGTAACCTTTTCTCTCAAAGACATTTTTCACTTTGTGTGGTCTACAGATTCCTAAAGGTGTTTATTTGCCATGAACAACTCAATAAATATCAACAGTCGATCCCATCTCAACTTTGGGTGTCCTTTCTGGGTGTGCAAATTTAATAATATGAAAAATATCCAACTCCTCCTGAGTGAAAAAAAAAATTAAAAATATTGAAACAGATGCGAAAAGGATATTTTTCTAGGCAAACCTCTTGCGTGCTATTGGTTGCTACATATTTGTATATAAAAGTATTTTGCTATTTAAATGGAAGGATGATTTGTACAAAAATAGTCAAATCCCTTTTGAAACCTACTGGTGTATTGTAATAAAATTACGCATCTGGAACAAAAACCCACATGCATCCATGTTGCACAGCTGCACAGTGAGCTTTGATTATTTGAGTCTGAGTCTTGTAAACAAAAGGATATGTTAGTTTGAGTCAGACTGGGTCTATAACACAAAACTTTATTACTCTGGAGTGTACACAGACACACAGTTCAAACCTTCAAAATTAGATACACTTGAACAGTCTGGTTGTACAGCTGTGTGTATCTACACATTTGTGCCAATGAAAAGGAGACACAAACCTACCAGATTCTTTATGTTTAGCAGACGCATAATTCTTCATGCTTGCTAAATCCATTTATACTGATGTAACCAAAATCAGAATCTGATCAGTTACTACAGTAGAAGCACAGATTGTGGATTTGCGCACACATGCTGTAGTAGGTGTCCCCACAGTCCCAATCAGCTGTACAATTTGCTTTTCTTTACTGCTTTGCAGTAGTCACATGTACAATTAGAACTTCTACTGCAGAAAAAACTGTGAACTCTCCTAGATTTCTCTCTTTCCAAAAAGACAGCCATTGCACACAGGATATGAAAAGCAAAGCCAAGAACAGGAGTGAGGGGTTCTGGCTCCCTGTTCACTGCACTTATCACCGACTGCCAGCAATGATGATATTTCACCTCTTCTATGATAAAAGAGTTAACATTTCAATATATTCCCTGGCTGGTGGTTTATAAAAATCAAAGCAATCCTGATTTTCAACCAAATTTACCTTACTTAAATCATTCCAACAGTGTATTTTAAGACAGAATGTTTCTCTAGTACAGTGTTTCTTTTCAAATGATTGGTTCTCTTCTCTGAAGTACTTCACCACTTAAACAATTTAGCATTGCCATGTGGGTTTGTTACCCCAGAGAGGAATAATTAACAACCTCAGCAAGTTTTACTGAAGTTAATGGTTCTCAACGTGACCCAAGCTCGATGTGGTTAATCAAGCAAGCTTCATCTTCAGAGCTAACTTAGCAGGAATCAGTTACTCACAGTGGCTTTCTAATTAAAGACACGTGAGTAAATCTTCACAGCATCTTGTATACATTTTGTTCACTTCAGAATCCTTTGGTACGTTTCCACATATGATGCCTTTTTCCAACAAGTACTTCTCATTACATCAGAGGGGAAATAGGCAGACAAGGTTCTTTGGGTGAATCTGATATCTTTTATTAGACCAACTGAAATAGTTGGAAAAAACATTTTTTATTCATATTCATATTCACTCCATCCAGGAAGAGCACACACCACCTGCAGAGACTTCCTCAGCCTGATGAAGGGTTTTTAAACCTGAAAGCTTGCTAGTTTTTTCCCCCAGCTATTTAAGTTAGTCTAATAAAAGATATCAGATTCATCCCAAGAACCTTGTCTGCCTATGTCCTTAGACCAACATGGCTACAACCTACACCCCATCAGAGAGGAAAGGAATTTGTTTTAAAAGACATTTCCTTGTGTCATATGTCACTTCCTGTTGGTTAAGCAGGCTTTTTAAAACCCTAATGACATCACAGTAGACCACCAACTCAGATCATCACATGTACAAAGCAAAAGGAAACGGGATAGAATATATTTTTAGGTTTCTGAATGGACAAGTATGAAACAGAAACAAATAAAATACATCAGCATCTCATAAGAAGGGGAACCTTGTGAACCCAATCAACAGAACAGAAAGAAAAGCAAGGGAAAAACTGTCTAAAATACAGCTTGATGTACTTATCCAGCTGTGGCGAGGAGGTCCATGGAGAAAGTCTCCATCTGCTGGTCAAAGTTATTCAAACACAGCTATAAACTGTTCTTTTTAAAGTGGAAAAAGTACGAGGAAAAAGTCAGCATAAAATACTCCACTGTAATCAAATATTTGACCTATATTACCAACAGCACTAAAGGTAATTAACAATGAAACAATCCACCCTGGATCCTTTTAATTTACTGCATTTACCTCTCAGTGGAGTCCATGAAATGCAGCAAAGGTCTTCCCCCTTCATCAATCCATTTTATCTGGGGTTTTATTTCAGTGCTCCATTATCTGGCTGTCAAAGCAGCACCAAGAGGAAGCTTGTTTATATGAAAACAACTCCCTCCAGGATATTTTTTATAGGAATCCGTTATTTTCTAGGCTTCATAAATGCTAGCTTTTGCAAAATCTATATCTTAGGCCATACTTAACTTGACAATGCTTTATCTTAAGTCAAGCTTATCATGTGTCCTTATGGTGCTTGACATTTCTATTTTAACTGGCCTGAACTCAGTATTGCTGAAAGAGGATTGTTAGACATCAGTTGAGTGAAGAACAATGAAATCAATTGTTGGGAAGGGTTCCCTCATACAGCTCTACCGATGCACCTTAAGCATCACCCAGAACACTCCATCCTTCCCAGTACATAGCATCTCCCTGGAGGATACCTGAGCTGAAGTTGGACCGGATGGAGGTAATATGGTTGGTAAACAAGGACGGCTACCACCTGGTCAGTCAAAATGTGGGGAACTGCAAGATTCAGGTTGGGTTGGGAGAAATGTGGATACTGGGCCTGTTAATAGCAAACAAGTGCCTGTGAAGACCAAGAGATTGCAGGTACAATGCATCCAAACCACACAGTGGTTCATAGGAATCATAAATACCCATTCTTCTTTTCAGTTATCTGTTGTAAAGCATGTAGATTGGCCAGAAATATGAGCTTGTAACACAGTGGTCTGTTCCCTTAAGAAGGAAGGAAGGAAATGCAGTTGTGGGACATTCAGCTAGTAAGGGAGTGCCCATTGGGAGCTTTAAAAAGCTCTGGGAAGAGAAAGCAAGAGGGAACAGCTTGCTGTGCAGAAAAGCCAGAAAAGTGATTCTTCTAATGTCTGGAGCAGAATAGAGGACTTTGATGTGGTACATTTGCTTTGCTAGAGACTGAGATTTGTGTTGCAGAGAATAAACCTATCTGAGGAATTGCTAACATAGCTACCTCTCCTACAAAAGGCTGCAGGATAAGCAATCCATTTACAGACTTACTATTGCAAATGGGCTTGAACCAAAGGCCTGGATCTGAAATCTAACCACTTTGGGGGAAATGGTGGTTGGAACCAACAATTGGGTTGTATTCAGAATAACTGTTAGATACTGTTACTCACTTATATAATCACTTCCATCCTCTACAAGCATCGCTGAACCCAGTACTGAAATGCAGTCACTTCTGAGACACCGTGTATTCTTCCCCACTCACAGATGGTAAGGCTGAGGCTGCCATTCTGCATTTCAACAGTCACTCACTTCAGCTGCTGTAAGTGAAGGAGGACTTCAGCGTGGACAGTAGGACAGATCCCCATTATTATAAGGTATCTAACAACCATGTGCAGCAGATAAAACAACACTTATCAGGTTCTGTAGAAAGTCCCAGACCCAGGCATGACCAAACAGACAAGAATGCAGCTTCTTCCCCTAGGAAGGCTGTAATTATGAGTGGACCCTGTTTGGCCCCCCACAACCTAGGAACCCCTGGTTTTTCAAACCTGGGAATAATGTGAACAGTGAAGTGTGGAGGATAGGAATGAAAATGGTGTTGCTAAATAGCAAAGCCTGCAGTGAACCTGAGAGAGAGCCCAGTAGAATGGGTGGGATGGTATTAATCTCTTCCATGTGGATTTGCCTAATTGCGGGGTTGGGGTTAGTCAATGTGCTTTCTAATTGTCAGGTTCCTATCTGGGTATGATTATATCTAATTAATTATGTCGGCCACGGTTCAGTGAACTGAACTCCCTTTGAAAAGACTCAGAACTACAGCTTGGGAAAGGCCAACACTAATCACTAGAATCAGCTTCTCAAGGAGGCAAGAACATTTCCTGAGCACAATCCTCTTCCTTTTCACAGAGCTTCATGTGGGGTTCATGTGGGTGCCTGGCAAGTAGGTTATAGGTGCAGTTTGTATTGGACAAAAGAATGAACAGGCCCCTTGTTACTTTATAACATGACATAGTTCATATAATATCTATTGCCTGCATTGTCTCCATGTATATAAGAGTTGTACTTAAAATAATATTTAAAACTGGATAACTCCCTTCCAGAAATGTGCATCAGTCAAACATGCAGATCTCTTTATTCTTTACCTCACTCCCCTTCTCAGTATCCTGACTCCAAATTATGTTACTGTTAGCTCAAGAGCTTTCTCCTTTGCAACTACCTTGGAACTACCTAGGGGGTTCAATACGACCAATATATTTAACGATTTCTTTGCCTCCATTTTCCTAAGCAGGGACCGGAACAGTCACCCCCCCGCTGGGCCCCCCTCAGGCCCCAGGAGA